ACATTGCAAATATCTCCTGAACTCTAAAATTTCGGACCACACATACAGGGGTTCATTCGATATGTTTTGTGGCCCTCTATCACCTGACTTCCGTTGATCCACTAATAACTTTACACCCGTATATGAGTTGTCCATAATTTTATAAAAATCAAAGGGCCACTCTTAGTTACTAAGCTATCATTCTCGAAAGTTTTTGAAATTTTTATGTATCTATTATAGTAAAACCGAATCCAGTATCAAGCTGCATTCATCAGTCTAGAGACACGAAAAACTCGCAAATCATCATTTTGAATGCATCGTCTAACGTCCATGAACTTGGTATACACTCCTACAGGTCGCGAATGGAAATTATCCTATTATTAATTATTTAAGTAACCGATAAAAAATAAAATCGATGCTACAATCTAGAACGTTTGAAAGTCGACGGAAACGTCATAATATTATAACGAACAAGCGCGTTTGGTTGAGAAAGAGTGCATCTCATGTGTTCCTTTTTCTTCATTTGTGTCTTGAAGGACACTCTTCACCGCATAAAGGTACTGTTTTACACAATTATTTGATTGATCGAAAAATCCTACTTATAAACGTTGCTTCGCTTAAATCATCTTGTTTTGTACGATTTTAACGGGGCTCCTACAATCTCGAGCACCATCTGCTGAGGTAACGGGGGGGTGAAAAGGAAACGATTGTGGGCTGGCCTTAGACGGTGGTCGGCGCTACTTTAAAAGAAGAAAGGATGACTGCGGGCGCCTACCGAGGTAAATTTTTATAATAACAGAGTCGGATTTCGATTAGCGATCTAGCCTGTAAATCGTTTCCTATTTTGGTACTCAGCTAGTGATCATTTAGTATTGTTCTACCGTTGTTACTGTTCGTCGATATTGTGTTGTTGAATTGTTGTGTTGTACTCTTGTTGGTGTGATTGTTCTTGAGCGAATTTTTTATCAAGGTTGATAATGGACAATAAAAGGTCATATGCGACAATTTTAATTACGAATTCAGTGAGTTTAATTCATGATGAGGACAACAATAGTGTGGAGCAGTTCAACTCGATAATCGCAAAATACATTGGGTAAGCTAATAAATTATTGCAAGAAGAGGTCATACCATGGAAGATGTGCTGCAGCTGTAGTGAGCCACAATACCGAGCGGCCTGTCTATGTGGTCCAAATACATTTGGAAAGAAGGTCAGACCAAAAAAAGTTGATATAAAAATAACTAACAATTTGGATAGCAATTCCAAAGAAAATATATAATACTCGTAGTTTTATGGCGAATTCTGTCAAAAACCTGACATGAACGACATTGATTTGGAAGTTGCTAAGCAAGAATTTTTAGGAAAACTTAAAAAAAGTGACGACGAGATTTTGCATATCGAACCAAATCACAGGACTGTGCTTTGTGGCGTCTTCATCGGAGGATAAGGTTGACAGCGTATCGATTTGGTTTGTAGAAGAAGGCAGACAACAAGCTGTAAAGTTCTAGTAAACTCGATCATATATCCACCAGAGTTTTCTAGTAAGGCAATAAAAAAAAGGCAATACAAAAATCATTGGACACGGCAGTTCAATCTTGTGGTTTGTTTATTGATCGCACACATCCATTTCTGGTAGCATCACCTCCATCTACCTATTACAGTAGACAAGAGATGTACTTAATCCAGGTATAAGCTTACCTGTTTATTGCTATGCAAAAACTACCTAACTTTTTCCTCTTAATTTAACGGCATAAGATATTATTATGACCCTCATTCAATTGTTACCATGACCCTTATAAACATAATTGTGTTTACTGACATGAATAAACGAATTTTAATTTGACATATTTCCTTGACATATCGATAATTTTAAAGTTCCACGCTAAATTCCCATATATTTGACTGGAGTGATATCCGAATTTATTCTTCCCTACTGTCGGTAGTTGCAGATGTGTTGTCTGTTGATGTCAAACCTATAGAGCAGGTACCGATTGTGAGCACATTATTCTTCTGATTTTCGGTACTTAAATTTCCTGTAATCACTGAGATCAAAAGCTACTTAGTAATAGAACGTGTTTCACTCATTTCAACCCCCCCCTTTTTAAGCAGTACAATTTTTAATGTCAATAATTAGGAACCCCTGAAACGTCAAAAACGGAGTTTCAGCAATTGTTACTTTTTCTTTTTTGCCTATAGCACCGTTGCCACTGGACTAAAACTACAAAGCTTTGGCATACTAGTAAACGCGTATGGAAATTTCATAAAAATCCGAGCGGTAATTTCCAAGTTGATGATGAGTGATACAGTTTTTCGTGATGTAGATGTCATATGAATAAAAACATAAAAATATCATTTTAGAAATTTTTCGCGATTACAATACTTCCTCGCCAATGACCTGGGAAGTAAAACGGCTTTAAAATCGAGGAGTTTTTGCGATCGCGATTATGAGGACCTATCAACGTGATATTATATGAAATAGGGTTACCAAATTATCTGAATACGTCCTTTCTTAGTCCGTACATTGCGCCGCAACGCTTGGTTTGGCAGCACGAAACAGTAGACAAAATTCGTCCAAAATACGATTTGTAGAGGTTTGCGCGCTTCAAAATTGACGCTTTATTTTTTGATATTTGTGGATGAAATTTTCACAGAGTGCTGAAAACAAAACCCCACAGGGGGCTATAGAGCCACTTTTTCATTTTTTTCACTAGGTTCTTTTTAAAAAAATCGCGAAGTTGAACAGAAAAAGTGCGCACTTCAACCCATCATAAAACTTGTGCAAAAACAAAATTTCAAAAAGTGCTCCTATAGCACCCTGGCCAATTATGTTTTCAACATACTATATGAATTTCATTCAAAAATATTGAAAAATGGAGTGTCAGTTTTGAAGCAGCTGAACCCTTGTAAATCGCTTGAAACTCACTGCGTCGGAGCCGCCTTAAGTGTTCTTAAACTCTGCATATTTAGCATAATTTTGTGTGCAATTTCAGGGATTTTTATTATTTGGTTCCCTCCTTGAGATAATTTGATACACCCCGCTTTTCAAAATGCTATGGGGGCAGATAAAGGTTTTGGGAGGGTCCATCTGATGAATATGATTTTTTTGCGGGGCTTAGGATTTAGGACCGGCGATTGAAAATTGAAGAGCGGGGTGAGGGGGGGGGGTGTATACTGCAAATTGAAAAACACAAATTTTTAATCCCCTGGATCTGGGTGCGGCGAAAACTCAGTGACATTAGAAGTTAATAATTCGACTCCTCTCAAAGTCGCTAACATCTTGATAATTTGGACGTCTTCGACTCGATGGATGATTGAAAAATTTATTTTTCCAGACTTTGAAGAATTTAAAATCAACGACCTCATCTCTTGGTACTTCGAGAACTGGTCTGTATAACCGCTCCTTCATTCCTAGAGTGTCGAAGTAACAGTCTATATGATGAGGCTTTTCCAAGTTCTACCAATCTTAGGTGCCCCGGTATTTAGTTTTCTGCCTACGTGACTGCTTCGATAAAAAAAAGAGGTAAAATGCTGATCGAATTCACTTTATATACTACTTTATTTACATATACTAAGTGACATATAAATCCGAACACCCAGTTTAAATGGTTTTATTTTAATAAAATTTTGTATAAGTACTAAATGAAGCATAATAAGTAAATGATAAAAATTTCAAAATGATTGCACTGCTTTAAAGCCCTTTGACCTTTAATAATGTGTGGATGCATCCTGATGTGCTCCAACGCGCCTAGACATGCTTCTGATCAGGTGGTCAATGTCCTCCTGTGGTATCTCATTCCAGGCAACCACCAACTCCTCTCGAAGTGCTTCTAGAGTCTGAGGAGGACGTTGCAAATTGAGCAATCTCCTACCCATCATATCCCACACGTGCTCAATTGGGGATATGGGGATAAGTCGGGAGATCTTGGTGGCCATGGTAACAATGTGACATCATTATGTTGAAAGAAGTCTATTGTGACTCTTGCAACATGTGGTCGGGCATTATCTTGTTGGAAAGTTGGATCTGCCAGGGTGTCAAGATAGGGTAAAAGATGGGGTTCTAGAACTTCGTGGATATAACGCTGCGCGTTCATGTTACCTCTGATGAAGATTAAAGGTCACCTGGAACCAAATGCTATAGCACCCCAAACCATAACTCCAACAGTGTGATGAACATGTCTTTCAACAAAAAACTGTGGATTCCTCCTTTCACCACGTCGCCTTCTAACCCTGGCACGACCATCGTGCATGCCTAAACAAAATCGAGACTCGTCACTAAAGACAATACTGTTCCCAGAGTGACCGTTGTCTGCACCACTCAAGGCGATTACGTCGGTGTTCTCGAGTTAAAGGGAGGACCCAGTGTGGCCGGTATGAAAACAAGCCAAAACTTCTCATTCGTCGGTAAATACTTCACATGCCAATTGGTCTTCCGTGTTCTGCAAACCATTCATTTGCAATGGACCTGGTAGTGGGGAAACGGTCCCTTAAGGCCAATAATCTTAGGCGGCGATCTTCACGGTCTGTTGTTCTACGGCGGCGTCCAGTGCCGCTTGCTCTTTGCTTACGGCCTTCTCGAAGCCATGCCTGACAACACCTAACCACAGTGTCTACACTTCTTTGCACTCTAACTGCAATTGCCCGAAAAGAAAGTCCAGCTTCCCGAAGTCCCACTATACGGCCCCTATCAAACTCAATAAGTTGACGAAATCGTACAGGTCTCCGTACTCTAGGTATCGTAACCGATCGTAAAGGATGTCAAGAACCAAAATCCGCCAACGTTGATTCTTTACTGCGGCGGAAATATTCATTTTTAGAGCGTTAGTGAATTAAAAAAAAGCAGTATAAAAACCGGAATGTCCAACTGATAAGGCTGAAAATTTTTTCACTTGTTATTTACAGTAAGATAAATATATTCACCAACTTTTATTAAAATAAAACCATTTAAACTGGGTGTTCGGATTTATATGTCACTTAGTATATAAAAAGTCTATCGAAATAACGACGTATATATCTATCTGCCTACCTGTTATATAGAGCCGTGCTGAAGCTTTATTGGCATGTCAACTGTGATCCCCCCCTCTCCACATTCGTTGCCTTTCAACATTCATGTCGTCGAGAGAGGTGCTTCAGATCAAGGGTGGCCGTATAAGAAAAAGTGAAGGCGATGAAGCGCTCTCCCGCCTTTTCTGAAACATAAAAAGGTGACTTTAGAGGTGCAAGAGACAAAGGTCCAAATAATTCTGGTGGAGAGTGCTCGATGATTGGGTTCGGAAAAGGGATGTTCGAGTAGGTTTAGTCATACAGCTTTATCAAATTGGCCAATAAAAAAGTAAATGATGATATATGATTTTGAAATAAATCAGGGTGTTTCTTAATGATATGCGAATATTTAAGGATGTGAATCTACATGAAAAATTAATGTTAGTTTGCTTCATAAACTATGGTCCAAAAATGTTTCCTTACAAAAACTCGGGGTGTTGACTTCAACATTAAGTGAAGGGGGGCCATTTTCAACAATTTTTGTAATCATTTCGTTGGTTTTAATGTTATGTTTATATTGTCAGTTGTTGTTGTTCATCACCCCTAATGTGTTTAATTTTTCCAGTTAAATTAATAATAATTTTGCAAGTTAGTCAATAGAACGGTTTTTATTCTTTTACTCAAAATTGGCGCATCGAAGGAAAACAATTCAAAAGAGATCATTTGTTTTAAATTGGACGGGGAATTCAAAAATAATTTTTATTTGGCAAAAAACCATTGACGTACTATTTTTTTCTTAAAAAATATCGAAGGCAATACCCGTACGCACGCCACTGTTAAAGCTAGAAATTATTTTTACATTGAAAAATATGCAACGTTATTAACTTTCAGTACGTACTAAATATCAGTGAAATATCTGAAGCGGTTCTGAAAATATGAATTAATTTCCATTTTTTTCCTAAAACTTCAACACTCCGAGTTTTTGTAAGGAAACATTTTTGGACCATAGTTTATGAAGCAAACTAACATTAATTTTTCATGTAGATTCACACCCTTAAATATTCGCATATTATTAAGGAACACCCTGTATACATGTTCTTTTTTTTAAATTTGTGGATATATCCTTTCAATATAGTTGCAATGCAACCCAGAATCCTGGGCTTTACAATATTCTTTGCCAGTCAATTAGCGCACTTTAGAGTTCGAGAGTATTAGATTTTTGCTGTTTGTCCGTAGGTACTTTTTTTAATTTAAAATAACTGAAGCAACGTCACACTGACATGCTTTGCATTACTGAAAACATGTTCATCACCCACTGAAAATACAATTGTTCATTTTCAACATTTCGTACTTTGATGATTGGAGATCTACCGCGGTATAAAACACTTTTCCACCAACTTTTAGACGTGTAGACTGTTTTATTGCCGTACTTATGTAAAAGGTAGTAAATGGAAAAATCGAAATTGTGTTCAATATTCTGGATTTTTTCGAACTAAATACATCTTACGACAGAACAAACGTGAAAGAATATTCCAAAGTTATATGACCTTATAGAGAGTCTTTTAAATGTGATTTCGGTTCATAATGGTTACAAATGACATTCTGTCCCGTAAGTCAAAAAGCAGTAACATGTGATTTACTGTTTTTGTACTCCGGAAAAAACAAATTTACTGCCTTTTTTTCGTACTTTTCATAATATATTCATATTATTCTTTCAAAAGCAAAACGTCGTAATGCAGAATATTGTTGTATTTTAATATAATTAATTCATATTAAAATTCAGAGAAATAGCACAAAAGAAAATCTTTTCAACATCTAATAATTCAATTTAATAGTTATACAGGGTCCGCTTTCCTTTTCAGAAACAACTACCCTTGAAATAACAAAGGTAATGGGTAGTGAAACGAGGGCGACCAAGTAAAAAAAAATAAGGGAAAAAGTACTCACTCTCCAGTTGACGAGAAGGGCTAAGTACGTCTCTGCCCGAAATCATACCGCTCCAACAGAAAATGAAATCAGCTGATGCGCTACCGAGCAGACGCACCATGCCAGTCCAAACATTCACCGAAAATGTTTGTTGAAAATGTGCCCGACGGACAGCGTGCGGATTTTCTACTGACCAAACATGAGTGTTGCGAAAGTTATTCACCCCATTACGCGTGAATGTAGATTCGTCTGTCACCAATATGCACTTCAAAAAGTTCGGATTATTGTCATGTTGATGCAACAACCACTCACAAAACCGCACTCTTGCTGGAAAATCGTCAGGTTGAAGGGCTTGTACAGGTTGGACGTGAAACGGATACAGCCCCTCTTCACGCTCTCTAGTGCTTGTTGAGGGATTCTCGTCTACGCGATTACCTCTACACGCGTGACCGTAAACCGTCGGTTGAAGGTTGCATACTGACCTGACAGCCTGACACACTGACCCCGACCCAGTTCTGTCGTCGGGTTGAGCTAGTGACATTGTACCACTCCGTGATGTCGCGGTTACAGGACGGTATTCAGATATTTTTGATGTTGCAGAGCCCTTTATCTCGGTTCCCTTAAGACATTGGTGTATATGGTACTAAGAAAAATTGCTTATGTTTTCAAGATCTACACGTCGTGTAAAGGAAAACCCCAACTTTGCGGACACGCTGTATAATTAGACTTAATAATTACATTTAGCTAAAATAACTAGATAAATAAACTAAAAATCGTGTTTTCTTATATGTTAAGTTAGATGAAGTATATTTTTAATTATTTATTTTATAATAATAAATACTTATTATATGATAATAGAATTATTACATAAAAAAACTAAATAAGTAAATATCATAAAAGGTTATGAAGGTTACATACTTGTATCACACAGATAATAAAAGCATTATAGTTCGAAAACTAGTTCTTTTTTACTTTGATAAATTGATTTACTTTTATGTTTAAGAAATGTTATTAACATGAAATATTTGATAAAGTGAAAAAACTATTTTTAATAATAATGATCTATGATATACATGGTGATTCATAAGTCGTGACCAAAAATGAAACATCATATACAAGAACGCATTTTATGTCGTGGTCTTCTATGTCTAGTCTCTACTTGAAATCAACCTGCACTAGAGGCGGAGATTCAGGGGATTCGTGGCATTATTTTTCCAAATAAAAATAGTACGCCACTGTTTTTTTTTTCGAAACACGCAATTTCGCGAATTTTACCTTCAATTTGCTACATATAATTACTCCTGTGTTTTTTTCCTTAAAGTGCACTGTTTACGTAAAAATAAAAAAAGCAAATCAGATCATTCATGAAGAGCAGGGATACAATTAGTTTCAAAATAAAATAGGAGGCCTTGATACAAACTTGACGTTTCTTGGGAGATATTTAGTCAAAGTCATGTGTTATACGGTTTTTTTTAACATTTATTGAAATGAAACTTTGATTATCTAATTTGTTTTATTTTTATTTTTACGAAAACATGCACTCTAGGAAAAAACACAAGAGTAATTATCTGTAGCAAATTGAAGCTAAAATTCGAAAAAATGCGCGTTTCGAAAAATAAACAGTGAGGTACTATTTTTATTTGGAAAAATAATGTTACTAATCCTCTGTATCTCCGCCACTGGTGCACGTTAATTCTAAGTAAATATTTTTGCATGTGGACAATACTTAGGTTAATAGACATACCAAATTTTAGTTAAACTTCAACACCCCGTATCTTATTAATGAAGCCCGCGACAAAAAAAAATGTTACATAGAAGAACCCCCTTAAAATGCGGTCCTGTGTATGATGTTTCCTTTTTAGTCACGACTTGTGAATCACCCTGTATGTTAATATAAATGGCAGTGTGCTAGTTCAAATTTTAATCCTTACCAGAGGCTGAAATACACCGATAAGACTACACGGTTTAGAAAAATTATTTCGGCACTAATATTTCGATAGTTTCCCTTTGTACTTGCAAGGGCAAGTTTTCTCGGCGGTTCCACGCGTGTTTCCACGCCGCACGGTTTTTCCACAACTAAATTACCCATTTCCCTGGCTTCCAGAAATAATCGATAACCTAGCCTGGGTTAAAAGTACAATCAGCCACCGCCGGTGCCGAGTGACGTCACGAACCTGCGTGACCTTTCTTCGGCTTGGGTCAATTATTAACCGAACACCAAAATTGAATAAAGAACAAAAGTTTTTACGTTGGAACGTAGGCAAATTCTAGTTTTTGTAAAGTGGGCAGACGTCATTGTTTGTCAAGACCTAGTCACACTGCGGGGGTAGTCCCAAAAGTAAGGCATTCTATTTTTTTAAACGCAAAATCGAAAACTCTTGAGGTTGCAGCCGTAACGAAAAAGAATATCAGAGGGCCAGGAAGGAAGTTTGTTCTTTGTTTAATGAAGAAGACGGAAAACATCCCTCGTACAGTGAAAGTGCCTGAACCAGGGTCCAACGGCTAGTTCAACAAGTCGTGCGACACTGTTCGTCATCAGAATATCAAGTCACACAGAACCCAGTGTTGCCAGACGATTGTTTTTGCCAAAATTTCCCTAGATTTCCCTAACAACTCAAAAAATCATGTTTATTTTAGAATTCCTTTTATATATTTAATATTCATCTTAATATTGTTTGTAATTTGGGGTAGGAGTATTGATAAACAAATGCAAACAATTTTTGTACGTATCATTAGTTTAATTAACGTAACAGGTATTTCTTAAAATATATAATATAAACTAAAATACATGATGACTTAAGTCATATTATAAAAAAATATAAAAAATATAAGAAAAATTCATTCTGTATAAATAGCGAACGAACGAACATAGCATAACATAAAATATTTTGTTTTTAAGAAAACAATAAAGCAAAATAATCAAAAGTAGGTATTATAATTTAATTTTGATTTTTATTGTACATTGACGAATCCATTCTTCTAAACAAATCATTAGGGATGCTAAAGTTGTAGCAACTGTCATTTTTAAAAAAAACTTTGGTACGTAAAATTCCACTTAAACTTTCAGTCGATAGTTTATTTCTTATTTTAGTTTTGTTTAGATTTATTTGGAAAAGTATCTTTTCGACATTTGCACTTGAATGTGGCAAACTAACACAAAATTCGTTAAGGTTGGAAACATAAGAGGATCATCACCAGATTTTAATGTTGAAATTTTTGCCCAAAATTCTTGAACGCTTGAATTTGTATATTCACTTAAATCAAGATTTCTTAGGCAACGCCATTCTTTGTCTATTTCATTTACGTTATCAGTTGTCAGGTTGGGAAAATGGAAAACTAAAGGCCCTAATGATGCTTGTTTTTTGCAATTACTTCATCTGATGATATAAGTGATATATGTTTTAGGGTAGCGACAGTTTTTCTTTTATTATCAAATCTTTTATAAATTTGAAAACAACTTTCTATTAAAAAATCACCGACGGGGAACCACAGCGTTTCGTTTAGTAATGTTATGAGTTATGATTTCCGACCGGTTTGTTGATACAATTTGGTGTTCGTACATTTTAATATACAGGGTGGCGCATCGAAAACGAAACAGACGCATTAACTGGCAGCTCAGTTTTTTTTTGAAAAACGCTCAGACCCGTCGATTTTGTTTTCGAGTGGGACACAAGTTTTCCAAAAAATCACGTTAGCACCTGCAGCCCCCTAAGCGGGGGTGACACCACCCCCAAAATCTTAAATGGAAAGGGGGGTCGAGTGATACCTTATTTTAAAGATCTTGCAATTCCCTTTATAATGATATAAAATTAATCTACTTCAGTTCAGTAGTTTTGGAGATTTATTGATTTAAAGCTTAAATGAAACTAATATATCATCATTAGTGGAGATCAATACATTTGGCAGCAAAGTAATTTAAAAATGAAGAATGAACTGACCCGTTAGGCAAGTAAATTTTGAAAATGTCCACCATGACTCTCCATGCAATAATAAAGATTTTGCTCAAAACATTGCCGCACATTTTGCAATATTTGAGGAGTAATTTGAAGGCACTCATTGATAATTCTTTGTCGCAGGTCTTGTAATGATGTTGGCTGAGTAGCATAGATTTTCCTTTTTAAATGAACCCACATAAAGAAATCCAAAGGTGATAAATCTGGCGATCTTGGGGGCCATTTATTGGCACCTCTTCTACCAATCCATCGATCTGGAAACGTCTTATCTATATTGTCGAACACGTAATGCGTAATGTGTTGGGGCACCATCCTGTTGGAACATCAACCATTCGCAATGTACCGCCGATCATTCTGATTTTCAATTATGGCTGTTAATGCAGGATCTATGGCGTCTTCTGTTTCGCTGAGGGTCAAAATCCGATAAAAAATGGAAGACGTTTGGGACTTAATATCCCAGATTCCGGAGAACGACAAAAAGACCCCGGCACCACGACCTCAACGGAAGCTGAATAGCGAATCCCAGAATATGTAACGTTCTAGAGGAAGGAATCTTGAGTGGCCTTGAAGAAGATATGTTTTATAGGAAGCCAACTGACGGAGAAAAACTGCAGAGTTTTTTGCTGATCGTCAACACCATACTGAATCGCTGAGAAAGAAAGATATAATACGAGTCAAATTACACAATCAGTTAAAACTATTAAAAAGAAAATCATTGAAAAGGGGTTTGGCCTAGGAATGGGCACTCTATTATCAATGAGGAGAAATTCAAATTACTGATAAGTGATAAATATAAAAAAAAGTTTACGTGATTTTGGTACGTGACACTTTTTTTAATTTGATGTTAGTAGAAAAGTAGAAAATAGAATTAGAAGTAGCCTTATTGCACGGAGGTCACAGGGGATCGAAACCTCGTATGCTCGTGTCTAAATTTTTTATTGTTGTCACAACTCAAGACATGTTAAATATTCCATGGGCGTGGCCGACTTCCTGCTTTTAATACAATTAAGGCTCGACGATCGATGTCAATAAACTTGCGACGTTCTTTCCGAAATTGTTGTTTATCTTCGACTTTACTGCTGCCTTTATGACGTTCGCGGTACGAAAAACGGCCGTAAAAGTGCGTTTTACCGCATTTATTGGTCGGTTTGACATGTCGCGGTATCGTTTAGCGTCGACTCATTTTGCAAGTGCTCTTTTATATACATTGGATCGAAGATAAGGAAAAAATGAGCTGGGTTTATAGCTAGAGGATTGTTCTAAGATCCTGCGATTTGCTGGTGAATTGTGGCTCACACCATCGAGATAGTATCTTTAGGGTGGATTTCACCAGCATCGTCAAATCAACAGTCCGTTATTCTCCACCTATAGGGTAACAGTCCGTCAAATACAGCGAATGAGCTTCAAGTTCCAATCAACAAATTTTAGCAACCAATAGCTTTGAAATGTAGAAAACAAAATACTGTCAAAGTATGAGATGACAGCTTGTCATTGAAATATCACCAGCTTATTGAATATTAAGAAATTACATATGATTTAGTAAAAATTTTAAAAATTGTTCGATTTTTGAATAAAATTCATGTTTTTATTTAATATTGTCGATTGTTTATTCATGTTTATATTATTTTCTTCAATTGGTATGCGATTTTACTGATTCAACATCACCTACCGTGTGTTTTTTCCTATAAACCTCTTGCAGATAGCCATTCAGCACCTACTTGATGACAATTTCATAGTTATTGCTCGTTTCCAAACATTCATTCATTTACTTGCCGTTCATCAGTAGCATTATAGCATCGTCGATTGATATTCCCACAAAACCATTCAGGATTTTTGATATCCATACATCCATAATTCAAATATTTTTTGGTTGTTCAGGAACTCAACAAACATCCACATTACAGCGATTGAGAAATACTCAAATATATGTCGTAAAGCTACCGGCAAACTTAAAACCTGCAAAAAAAAATAGAATTTGCAATATTTTTCTTTTTTTACGAGTACACATTCTAGGTTATATTTATATTAGTCATTATTTGAATAACAGCTGATTATTTCAAAACTCCCCAACGAGTGACACATGTGTGGGATCCCTTGATCCCAGTCACAAAACATATACACTGAAGAAGGTTTAATTCCATGCTATTCATTGACAACACGGTGACTTGTGTGGTTGTCAGTGGCCATTTTTTGAGGGTGCGACATGATTGCCAGATTGTGCATTAATATCCCGTTTCACCCCTCTGGTCCCAGTGGAGTACGCTTCGCCAACTGCTGAAGTATACTCTACTATGTTTTATAAGACTATACGTGGAATTTTTCCCAAAATCGTTGCACAACACGTGAAAAAATGCAAATGAAAATTTAAAATTATTCCTATGACGCCACAAAATAGCTCCGTCGGTACCTCGGGTTATACATCTTGACAGTAGGGATGTTCGATACGATCCTATATTCAGAAGTATCGATTAGGGATGTTCCGATCCACGTAAAATATCGATACCAAGTATCGATTCGTATCGTTTAATGGAGTATCGATCCATTAAAATATCGGAATAAAAACATCGATCCCATGTGTACCGATACCTTTCGACTATACACTGCCGAAAATCGAAGTTGCTTTTTTACAACCCTCTAAATAACGTCACTTTTTTCAACTGCATGACGACTGTCAAATAAGTTCACAAAAAAAGATAAAAAAATAAATACTAAGAAATTCATTACAAAACGATTATTTATTTATTATTAACATAAAATATATAAACATAGGGTATTAAAAACAATACTACAAATAACTCGAAGTTCGAAATCTTAAAAATACCATTATTCAGAACTCAGCGAATGTAAGCATAATTTGACATTCGATCTCCAGATACTCTGTTTCGGGTTTGGTAGTGTATATTTCCGGCTTCAGAAAAGAGTGTCTCTGAGGGAACTGATGTGCCAACAACAGAGAGATATTTATCAGCCATTTCTTTAAATACCTATGAGGAAGAACTTGAGCTATTCCAGTACAAAAAGGGATCCGAGTTTAGGGGCATAGTAGGACTATTGAAATACAGTTTTAGCTCAAGGTCAGTATCTGATTTGGTATCATCATATTTATCTGTATGATTT